AGTATTTAAAATAAAACAAAAAATATTAAGATGTGTTATATACATGTGAAGTAAGATGGGATAACATGTACCAACTCCCCATGAGGAAGGTGGTCATTATGTATTACAGACATGTATTAATAAAAAAATGAAATTTTGAAAAATAAAGTAAAAAAGCAAAAACCCATTTTTCCTTTTTCTCATCTTATTCTTGCCAGTCCCACTCACTAGAGGTAAACATTTTTTTAATACATTGCCATGCTTTTAAAACATTTTATGTATATAAAATTACTTAAAATAATAATTATTTATAATTATTATCTATACTTAAGCTTTTTTAAAAGTTAATTTTGGGAGAAATTTAGTACTACAAATTCTATTTTTAAAGTGTGGATACTATTCTGATCTATACAACAGCAACCAGGGAAGTTATTGTAGCTTTATTAAATGAGGAGGAAAAGATAAAAATAAAACTAGGAGTTTTCAAAAATTGCAGCGAGAAGCAGTGATACTGTATTGTTAAACTCCATGCCTCTGAACATCAGGATCACTGCTAAAATAAATAATGTGGTCCTTAAGGCATAGCACTGATCTTTTTTTGAAGTTATTTTCATCTGCATGTGGAGGCACACTCCTAAAATCCCATCATCACTCTGGGAGGCTGAGGCAGGAGGATCTGAATTTTGAGCCCAGCCTGGACCACTTAGCAATTTAATATGATCCTGTCTCAAAATAACAAATTTTCAAAGTTGAAGATATAGCCCAGTGTGAAGGCCCTGGTTTGAATCCCCAGTACCACAAAACAAAGAAATAAGTAAAAGATATAAATATGGACCATGGAAGCATATTTGAATGCCTGATAAACATGAGAAAGATGCTGAAATCATTAGTAATCAGGGAAATACAAAATGAAACACACCATTTCAAACTAAGTGTGCTGGCATACCACCTGTAATCCTAGCACTCCGGGAGCCTCAAGCAGGAGGATCTCAAGTCCAAGCCCAGTCTAGACAACTTAGTGGCTTAGTGAGACCCTATTTTAAAATAAAAAGTAAAAAAAAAAAGACTAGGGATGTAGCTCAGTAGGAAAGCCCCAAGTTCAATTCCCAGTACAGGGGCTGGGGGCAGGCATTTCATACTTTAAATACCTTACAAGTTGGCTTCAAAGTCAGACAAAACCAGGTGTATTGTTGAGAATATATAGAAAATCAGAAACTCATACTTTATTAGGAAAATAAATTGGTTCAGCCACCTTGATAATATCTAATAAAGTGGTGTGCCTGTCCACTAACACAGGGAATCTACTTCTTGACATATATCCTAGAAATAAACAGCTTTAGCACTTGTGCCCAGGAAACTCATGAGACTGTCATGAGGCATTTTTGTACTAGTAAGAAATAGAAAATGGCCCATGAACAATTGAATAAATTAATTTGTTTGGTTAATTCATGCAATAGAGTATTCTATAGCAGTTAAAATGAGTGAGCTAGAACTTACATATATTAAACTAGGTAACGAGGAAACATTGTGAGCAAAATGCAAGTTGCAGAGTATGTTTAGTATAACTATAAAATTTAGAAATAGGCAAAACAGGACTACATATTGTTGAAGTCTGTATAGAAAAGAGTACATAAATATGGGAATGATTAAACACCGTATTCTGAGTGGTAGCCCCTCAGGAGAGAGGAAGGGGGGTAGAATTTAGTTCAATCCCTATTTTATTTTAATTAATTTATTTGCATAGTACTGTGGATTGAACCTGGGCCTTCACACTAAACTGCATCCTCAGCCCTTTGTACGTTTTTAATCTTGAGGCACGGTATCACTAAATTGTCTGGGTTAGGTTTGAACTTGTGATCCTCCTGCTTCAGTCTCCCAGAGTGCTGGGATTACAAGGCATGTACTACTACATCTGGCTCCTACTGTTATATTATTTGAGGGGAAAATAGATTTACATTAAATATAGCATAATGTGAAGACAGTACACTGGGTTGTGAGTACAGGGGTATTGTGTACTCCTGTATATTTAAGTAAAAGTACTTAAATAATTTACAGTTTTAAAATTGGAAGAGAAATGTAGAAGGGCAAGTAAAAGACTGAGAGGATGATACTCTTCAAGGTAAACAGGAGATAGCTTTTGTTTTTTGTGTGAGGATTATTATTAGGTATTGCTTATACCATCTAGGTGTCTGTGTCAAAAGAAACTTGTGTGCTGTGTTGCCCTAGTAAGTCTTTGGTTTTACAAACCTTTTTCTGACAAAATGGGACAAGCCCCCAAAATGCTGTTCTTTCCCATATCTCAAAGGATTCACATGCTCTGAGTTGTTACATTTTTAAATTGATAGCTGGCCAGAAGTTTTTTGTTTTGGGTCAGCTACTTTCTTTGAAAGTTGTTTTCATAGATATTCTGGATTAAATCTGTCTCCATTGAATCTGTCACCATCTGTCATGGTGATGCGTGCTTGTAATCCCCAGCACTTAAGAGGTTGAGGAAGGAGGATCGTCACTGTGAGTTCAAGGGTAGCCTGGGCTACATAGTATGACCTGTTTTTTAAAAAAAAAAATGTCTCCACACAGATCTTCATAAATCTCTAACTTTCCTAGCCTCAAAGTCCATCCGTGAGTCTCAGCTTCTATTAGCATTTTAAAGTTTCTGTCTGAGGTTGAGCACAACCAGCTAGAAATCTTTGCTTTCCTACTAGCTAATGAGAAGCTAGACAAGTTTTTTAACTTTCTAAGCCTGTTTCTTCCCATATCCAGTTGTGAGACTTACATGAAGCTGGATATGGGAAGCGGTTGTCAAAACTTCTGGCTATAATAATGCTCAATAAATGATAGTGGCCTTCATAATGACAATACAAAAGCCAACTGACAGATGTGGGAAGGACATCAAGATTTTGAGAAGGTCTTTCTGTGAAGGATGAGCAGCCAAGAGCTCAAAGAGCTGGTACATTTGATAAAATAAGCTATAGTCTTATGTTATTAGACAAATATCTTATTTTCTTTTAAAACTGATCTCATGGTTGGTATCCACTTGCCTTTTTTTTCCTCCTTCATTTATTATTCACATGTGGCTTTAGTTAAAGTTGTGTAGTTTGTTTGTTTGTTTGTTTGGTACTGGGGATCGAACTTGGGACCTTGTGCTTGCAGGCGTGGCGCAATTCTCTAGTTTCTGATAAACCTTTTTCTTGCCCTGTTTTGAGGTGGTTTGTTTGTTTGTTTCCCCTGCCTCTCACTGGAATTGAAGTGGGAGCATTTGAATATTTTTACCAGTAGTTTGGAATAGAAAAGGAAAAATTTACTTCTGTTTTTTTTGCCTATAGTGCTGGGGATTGAACCCAGTACCTTGAATGTGTTAGGCAAGTACTTTACTGAGATATATCCCCAGCTCTTTTTAGTTTAGTTTTTTTTTTTTTTTTTTTTTTTATTTTTTGAGAGAGAATCTCACTAAGTTGCCTGAACTGGCCATGAATTTGTGATCCTCTTGCCTCAGCATACCAGAATGCTGGAATTACAGGTGTGTACCAACTCCAGTTTAGTTCTGGTTGTTCTTCAGCAATGTGTTCCTAGAGATAAAAGAGATCAATTCAGTTACTCATTATTATTTTTTATTAGATATTCTCTAAATTAAAAAAAATATATATATATATATATTATTTTTTTTGGTACTTTTTAGGTATACAGTACAGTTATATTCATTATTGGGATCTTGTACCTTTACATGATGTATGTTGCTTCTCATTTTTTCCCCATGCCCCTGC